GCACCAGCTCGTGAAACGCCGCCTCCTCCCGGTCCAGCGCCTTGGCCAGCACCAGCTCGGGACGCTTCTCGCCGTCCGCTCCTGCCTGCACGGACAGCGAGAAGTGCTCGTCGCCGCTCAGCTCGTACCTCTGCAGGGAATTCACTCCCACGTCCGGATCGTGAGCCTTAGACAGGGGAAAGCGCGACCCGGGAGGTGTCATCTCGCTCATTCTCAGTTCATTTTCACCTTCCCGAAAGCTGGGGGCGTTGTCGTTAATGTCCGTGATTTCCACTTCGATCTCGTAAAACTTCATCTCGCCCTCCACGATCACCTCACAGCGCAGCACGCATCGCTGCACGCCCTCGCACAGCTGCTCTCTATCTAGCCTCTCCGCCGTCACCAGGTGGCCGCTGTTCGCATGCAGTGCGAAATACTGCGTCCTATCTGCCGACACCACTCGGGCGCCGTGGTCGCGGAGCGCCGCCAGCTGCAGCGCCAGGTCCTTGGCCACGTCGCCCACGAAAGAGCCCTTGGGCAGTTCCTCGGGCACCGAGTAGCGCAGCTGCCCCCACACCGCCTCCCACGCTGCCACCAACACGCAGCACAGCAGCGCTCGCTGCCTCCGGTCCCAGCGCCCTTCTCTTGGTGCGCACATCTCCGACACGGCCCCACCTCTCCAGCTCCGTCTGCTGCTCCGGATCAGGGTCTAGGTTCGGTTCCCTCTTCCGTCCCGCTTCGGCTCAGGCCCCGCCGTCGCGCGATTTGTTCAGCCCCTCCGCCTCCCTGGATCTCGGCTCCGTACCGCGGGACTGCTCGCAGCCCGCACGGCCGCCGACAAAGCGAGCGAGCGAGCGAGCCGGGCCGCAGCGGGCGGGGCTGGCTGCAGCGCTCCGCTCCTTCCTCTCCTCTCCTCTCCTCCGTGGTGAACAGCGGCGCCCGCAGCCTTCGCCCGGCACTGCACGCACGGCTCACAGCGAGCGCCGCCGCCCTGCCTCTTCCGCGGAAACCTTCGGCCCCCGTTGACGCGGCGCCTCGGTATATTCCCCTGCGACACGGCCCGAAGTCGGTGTGTTTGCTTCCTCAACGCCTTCTCCGAGGAGAAGATCGAATTCATTCTGGTCTTCAGGACTGTCATGATCAGAATGAAGGTAGTCACCTCTTCTTCATATCGTAGTTCTACTGCATGGCAGGTTAAATTACTCGTTCTAATTTGACCTCAAAGTAATTATTACCGTTACACAACATTTGCAGGACACTCACTTCAAGGAATTGCAGAGACCGTTTCTGCAGTCCTTCTTGAATGAATATTTCCTTGTCTTTCCAACACTTTATATTCATTTATATGTTACATTCGTTGAAAATTTGTGCTGTCGTTCCAATGTCAAATGTCAACAACTGATATAAAACAGTTCTCCATGTACATTTGCAGCATCATGGAGTAAACAGGTGCCTTCACTACTCTGAGATGCCTAGGCACTCTCCACATCCTTGTTATTTAGCAAAGCAGTGTGGGCACTCGCCTCTGATCTGTTTCCTCCACTATAAATGCAGTCTTGGAGATCACAACAGCAGAAGATGCTTTTCTAACTTTCATTCACTTTAACGGTCTTCCAGAAAAATGCCTACACATAAAACAGAAGAAAACCCCAGGGCTTTCACTCTGAATGTATCAGAGAACTATGGGACACGAGCATACCAGTGTACTCAGAGGTGTAAGATGAGGGCAGAATTTGGCATCACTTATCAAACATGTCCAATACTTTCATTTGAGAAAAAAAATCCAAAGGAAGACCATGAAATATCTCGAGCAATAAGCATCTGTCATATTTTCCTGATTCTGTCATGCTGAATCACTGGATCTCATTCTACACAGTCAGCATTCACATTCATGGCTAATGGTAATTACATCAGTACTTGGCATCAGTTACAGCCCTAGATTATTACTTTCACGGAACACCTGCTCCCACAGTACCCTTCTGCTCTTCTGTGACTTCACCTTCATAAATGGTGGTGACTCCAGTCTGCACCCTTTCACCTCAGACACCTCTACTACATAGGCACTTTCTGCCAAATACTTTATTCTCAGGGAAACATCATTGCCTCTAAGGACAGGAACACCATGATCAGAACAGAAATGGCATAGCCCTTGGCATCAGGAATGAAACCAAAGCATTCCACAGCCAAAGACACACTGATCCAACTATTTTCCAGGCTCTAAGCCTGCCTCTCAGCCTCTGTACTCTCCAATCACAGTCTTTATCTGCATCATGGACAACATCCCACTTATCACCATTGGTGAGAGCAGAAAGAAAATGGCATATAATTCTCTGACACTTTACTGAAAGAGAGATATATCAAAGTAGTTCTTTTCTAGTAGATCTTCCCATCTTTTTAGGGGTCTCTTCCACATTCAGGCTCAGTCCACAGCAAACAAGGCAAAAATGTGAAAATTGCACAAATGAAGGACTTCACTGTCATTCTACAGATCTTCTTTTTTAAAAAATCTGCCTCAATATTAGATAGAATGAAATTCAAGGGATTTACTTCCATTACTCAGGAGATGTTTCAGGCTGTGTGCAGTGAAAATCAGAAGGGCCAAATCCCAGCTGGAGCTCAAGCTGGCTACTGGTCTTTAAGACATCAAAAATTATTTTATAAATACAAAAACAAGAAAAGGAGGACCAAAGACAAGCTCCATCCGTTATTGAATGTGAGGGGAAACACAGTGATAAGAGATGATCGCCCCATTGCATTTTGTTCATAGTCTTTAGCAACAAGACCTATTTTTCTCTGGGTACACCATCTCCTGACTACCTGGTAGATAGGGACAGGAAGCAGAATGAAGACCTCATAATCCATGAGGAAATGGTCAGCAACCTGATAAACTACTTAGACATATGCAAATCTATGGGGCCAGAAGGCTAAGAGATGGGTCCTGTGTTTGGGTCACAGCAATCCCATGCAGTGCTACAGACTGGGGAAAGAAGACTGGCTCAAAAGCTGGCTGTCTGAAAGCTACCTCCGAGTATTGGTCAATAGCCAGCTGAATATGAGCCAGTAGTGTGGCCAAGAGATCCAGCAGCATCCTGATTTGTGTCAGAAATACTCTGGCTAGCAGGACTACGGAAGTGATTGTCCCTCTGTACTCGGTTCTCCTGAGGCTGCACCTCAAATACTGTGATCAGTTTTGGACCCCTCACTACAGGAAGGTTACTGAGGTGCTGAAGCAGGTCAAAGCAGGGCAACGGAGCTGTTGAAGGGTCTAGAGAACAGGTCTCATTAGGAGCGGCTGATGGAGATGGGGTTGTTTAGTCTACAGCAAAGGAGGCTCAGGGCAGATCTTATTGTGTTCTTCAGTTACCTTAAAGGGGGGCTACAGCAAAGTGGGAATCAGCCTGTTGCCAAGAACCATGTGATAAAAAAATAGGAAATGGCCTCAGATTGCTGCAGTGGAGCTTTACGTTGGATATTAGGAAAATGTGTTTCACTGAAAAGATTGTGAAGTATTCACCAAGGCTGCCCATCGATGTAGTTGAGTTGCCAGCATTTAAGGTCTTTGGAGGTTTGAGCATGTAGAACTTAGTGACATGGTTTAATGGTAGATGATCTAAGAGGTCTTTTCCAACCTAAAGGATTCCAGGATTCTATGAATACAGCTGTTGTTGTAGAATATGTCTGGTAGCAAAGCCACTTCCAGCTCCATTCTTGAGAGGTCAGGGTTCAAAGGTTCCTCTTTCCACCAAGAGAACGTCACACACAAAGAATTCTCAAACTGCTCCCAGCTGTTAGGATTGCTTTCTCTATTCTTAAAAGGCAGAAGGACTTCATTAAAAGACCAATTGCACAGCCTACTTCTTCACAATGTGCACAGAGACTATGCCATGGACAGCTCTAAAGACATTTCTTTCCACTACATTAACATGACCTAACATTGTGAAAAAAATAAATGTTATGCAGCTTGTTTATATACATTGATATTTTTTATATTTAGATATTTTTCAGTATTCACACTAGTAGACCACATAAGGTACACAGTAGGGGAGGAATTTCTGAGGCAAAACCTATTAAGCAGACAGACTTCAAATAGCGTAAAACAAACCTTTGTGGGGAATGGAATAACTAAAACAAGCAGAGAAAGGACCACCAGCCCTTCTACAGCCCCTCACACAACATTCCCTCAACACGTTACCTCAAACCTTCATAACTTCAATGCTTTTCTTTCCCCATCACAACTTGCAAGCAAATCTCACCAAAGGAAAAGTTCAACAAACCTTTTCCCAATCTCACACACAATGTACAAGCACACCTTCAAAGCATACCATGAAGGGAGCTACATTTCTCTGCAAGTATCTAAAGCTTCCTAAAGAGATAAGGGACAGAGAGAATTCTTTCTGCAACAAAGACTGGGTCTTCCTCAATACATCAGTAAGGAAATGTCTCTCTGCTTTAAGTATATGCGCTGTTCCATAGAGACATGCCTCTTCTACTAAAATCATGTTTACATCTACTCCCCAGACAAAAAAAAAGGAGAACACACAAACACCCTGTTATCTCCAGTCTTCCACACGAGTTCTGACTTTGATGAAATACAAACCTACTGGCTAACATAGGCAAGGCACATGGACACATAACACATTCCCCAACAAAGCTATGCTGCTACTGACAACACAACCTACATGCAGGGAAGAAACACCAGGAAAAGAAAATATTGGACCAGCAGTACAAAGAAGCATTCAAAAAGAAAGTGTGGTAGAGAAAATCACTGGACATGGGCCACAGTCTTCTCTCTGCACTGGAAAAGGCCTCCCTAAACCACCAAGACATCACTGAGGTTTTAAGCTGCAAGCAAAGACCTAGAGAGTTCATCTAGACTTCATTTTAAGAAATGTTCATCAGCTGTCATCTGTTTTTCCATGAGGTGGCTTGCTCATAGTCAATGAATATGAAAATGTAAATGGAAAAGCCATACTCTGGGGAATTTTCTCATGCCACGTCTCATGACCAATGAAGACAGATTCAGTTTCAGCTTCTGTTTCATTTCCCATATACACAAATATTTGTCTCCAGATGACTGATAGGACCTTCTCAAGGCAGATAAGGACTTGCTGCAGTACAAACTCTGCATTTTCAAATGTAAAGGTCCTAGCCAGAAAAGGAAAATATGAAGCACAACCTTCCTGAAAACAAAGACCTGAAAATGGAATTATAGCTATGAAGAAACTCTTGGCACAGAGTTATAATAAATAGGAGTGAAGTAATGAGGATTCTCACAGGTATTATAAGCCATAATACGCAGGAATCATAACACCACATGCACAGTTTTACTGCAAAGCATTTTATTACCAGAGAATTAAAGTTACCTTTCAGGGCAAGAATACCAGGATAAAATGGTGCATAAATGCTGCAGGAATTGCCACAAATTAGGAAGTCAAACCTCTGACTGAACGATATCACTGCTGAGCTACTTCTTTTCGACATTCAAAAAACAAATAAAAAGAAACAAACAAACAAAACCAACAACAACACAATAAAATCAAAAAGAAAGAAAGAAACAAACAAAAACCACTCACCATCATTGCTCTGCATTCACAGCTTTCCTTTGCACCACTCACAACATCCAAGTTCTAGCCATATGGAAGCCACTGGCAAGAGCATTTCATCCAGTGACATTTTAAGAAAACATGAGGATATTAAAGACTGTCCTGACAGCACTAAACAGTCACACTGGGAGTGGAAACAGCTCTCCCACTCCTATAACTCAGACAGATCTTCCAGTCTTTTCAGGGTTCTCTGGCATTTTGTCATAGACAATAAACAAAGCAAAAATGTGAAAAAGACAGAAAAGGAACAAGAAAATAGGACAGGAATCCAATCTTGCACTTCTCACAACATATTTAATCCTAGTCAAATATTATGCAGCACAAATTAAAGCCTAAAAAGACACGTTACCCAGGCCATTATTCCACCACACACACTGAAACAGCAGCACAGAAGAATATAAAGACATTTCTCTGCTCAAACCATCTTCATGCAGCAAGAGAACAGTTGCACAGAGTAGAAAGGAAAAGCAGCTAAGTGAAACACGAGGTCCTTGAATATTGTTTCAAGACCATCCCAATTCACTAAAACCCTGTGCAGGCATCCTCATTCATTATTAGAATTCACTATTGGAATTTGCTGTTACCGAGAAGAGTGAGTGCTGAATGGGTTAAGGGAAAGATGCATCTTGCCTTCCACATATTCTAACATGGAAAGGAAAATTCCACCTATTTCATCACCAGAGCAAGGCCCATGAAAGCATATCACATTCCTCAACACAGCTATGCTGTTACTCACAACTCAGCCTACCCACATAGACAAAAGACTAGGAAAAGTTAAAATCAGACAAGCAAAAAAAGCATTCAAAGAGAAAGTGTGGTAGAGAAATTCACATGAAAGATGTCATGGTCTTCTCTGCATGCAGGGAAACACCTCCCGAGAGCACCAAGAAACGGCTCAGGTCTTAAATCTTCCTCTGCACTGTACAGTACGGACATCATAGCAAGACAATCTCATCCACTCTCATAAATTCTTCCATGCTGTGCCCTGCATATCTCAAATGAAAATGAAACTATAAATGTAATTATCTTGCTATGGGGCCTTTTCTCATGACAAGTCTTGTGAGCAATTGGTTTCCCTTATATGCAACATCTTGTCTCCAGATGGCTTACAAGAAATTCTCAAGGGAGAAAAGGATATGCTGCAATAGAAACTTTGCATTTTCAAATGTAAAAGTCCTCTCAAAAAAGGGAAATATGAAGCACAACCTTCCTGCAAACAAAGGCTTGAAAATGGAATTACAAATAGGAAGAAATGCTACACCCCAATGCAGATAGGGGTAGACTACTGAGGATTTTCAAAGCTATTAGAAAGTATTATACTAAGGAATCATACCTCTGCATACACAGTTTTTTTACAGAACATTTTGGCACCAGAGGATTAGCGTTGCCTTTCAGGAAAGCAAAACCAGGATCAAATGGTCAAAATAGCTGCAGGCATTCTCAAAATTATAAAATCAAACATGCTACAGAAATTGCCAATCACAATAAAATCGTAGCAGTGCACAAACAATATCAACACTAATCACAACTTCTTTTCAAATTCAGAACCAACGTCCCAACTCCACTCCTCTACATTCACAGCATTCAGTTGCACCATGCTCAATATTCACCTTCGAACTTTATCTCAACAGCTAATAAGGGCTTATCATTCTGGACATCGTAAGGGGAAGCAGAACACCGAGGGAAAGGCAAGGAGCAGGAAGGGAGGCAAGCAGCCGAGACGGAGGGCGTCGGGGTGTCCGGAGCGACTGACTCACCGGGAGGGCGTCGGGCGGTGCGCCGCGGGCGCCGGCAGCGTCTTCCCCGAGCAGCGGCGCGGCCTTGTCGGGCGGCGGCCGCGCCGGGAGGGTGTTGCAGCAGCTGTCGGCCGCCCAGCGCCGCTGGCTCTTGCGCGAGTCGGCCGTGAGCGACACCTCGTGCGAGTAGGAGTGCAGGAAGGCGCGGACGCCGTCGATGCCCACGAAGTGCGAGGCCGGCACGCCGCGCAAGGCGCCGCTGGCCGGCGGCAGCAGCTGCGAGCGGCGCCAGCGCCGCAGGCGCAGCGCCAGCAGCAGCAGCAGCAGGAAGGCGACGAAGAGGCACGACACGGCCGCCACGGCCAGCACCAGCCAGCGCGTCAGGCTGCCGCCGGGCTCGGCCGGCGCCGCCGCGCTGCCCAGCTCCGACAGCAGCTCGGCCACGCTCTCGGCCAGCACCACCGTCAGCGTGGCCGTGGCCGACAGCGCCGGCCGGCCCTGGTCCTTCACCACCACCACCAGGCTGTGCCTGGGCGCGTCGCGGGCCAGCGGCGAGCGCGCCGTGCGCACCTCGCCGCTGTGCAGCCCCACGCGGAACAGCCCCGGCTCCGTCGCCTTGGCCAGCTCGTAGGACAGCCACGCGTTCTGCCCCGCGTCCGCGTCCACCGCCACCACCTTGGCCACCAGCGCGCCGGGCTCCGCCGAGCGCGGCGCCAGCTCCACGCCCGTCCAGCCCGCGCCCGCCGCCGCCGCCGCCGACGACGACGGCGGGTACAGCACCTGCGGCGCGTTGTCGTTCTCGTCCACGATCAGCAGCCGCACCGACACGTTGCTGCTCAGCGCCGGCGCGCCGCCGTCCTCCGCCCGCACCCACAGCCCCACCTCGCGCACCTCCTCGTAGTCGAACGAGCGCAGCGCGTACAGCGCGCCCGTCTCCGCCTGCACCGACACGTAGGACGACAGCGGCGCGCCCCGCACGCGCCCCTCCGCCAGCCGGTAGCGCACGCGCGCGTTCTGCCCCCAGTCCGCGTCCCACTGCCCGCACCGTCAGCACCAGCGCGCCCTCGGCGTTGTTCTCGGGCAGACGGGCGCTGTAGCGCGCCTCCGCGAACACCGGCGCGTTGTCGTTCACGTCCAGCACGCGCAGCGCCAGCACCGCGCTGCTCCGCAGCGACGGCGACCCGCCGTCCGACGCCCACACCGTCACGTTGTACTCCGACACCTCCTCCCGGTCCAGCTCCCGCGACGTCACCACGCTGTAGTAATGTCTAGCCACCGAGCTCCGCAGACGGAACGGCACGCTCGCCGACCAGCGAGCACCGCACCTCGCCGTTGGCGCCCGAGTCGCGGTCCTGCACGTGCAGCAGGGCCACCACCGTCCCCGGCGGCGCGTCCTCCGAGATCTCGCTCAGCGCCGACGACACAGTCAGCTCGGGCGCGTTATCATTTACGTCGGTCATCGAAATCGAGACGGTAGCCGTGTCAAAAAGTCCACCACCGTCGTGTACCTCCACCTCCATTTCGTAGAAGTCGCTTTCCTCGAAGTCCAGGCTCCTTACCAGTGTAATCGATCCCGTCTCGGGATCCAGGTAGAAAATTTCAGATGCTAGGTCCGTCGCTTTTTTAAGGGAGTATTTCACATTCGCGTTGATTCCCTCGTCGGCGTCGGTGGCCGTGAGCGTGAGGAGCGTGGAGCCCACGGGAACGTCCTCGGGCACGCGCACCGCGTACACCGCCTGGCTGAACACGGGCGCGTTGTCGTTGGCGTCCAGCACAGACACGCGGATGCGCGCCGTGCCCGTCCGTGCCGGCTCGCCAGCCGTCGATCGCCCTCAGCACCAGCTCGTGAAACGCCGCCTCCTCCCGGTCCAGCGCCTTGGCCAGCACCAGCTCGGGACGCTTCTCGCCGTCGGCTCCCGCCTGCACGGACAGCGAGAAGTGCTCGTCGCCGCTCAGCTCGTAGCTCTGCAGGGAATTCACTCCCACGTCCGGGTCGCGAGCCTCGGCCAGGGGAAAGCGCGACCCGGGAGCTGTCGTCTCGCTCATTCTCAGTTCCTTTTCAGCCTCTCGGAAGCTGGGGGCGTTGTCGTTAATGTCCGTGATTTCCACTTCGATCCTGTAAACCTTCATCTCGCCCTCCACAATCAGCTCAGAACGCAGCACGCATCGCTCCACCAGGCGGCACAGCTGCTCTCTATCTAGCCTCTCCTGCCGTCACCAGGTGGCCGCTGTTCGCATGCAGAGCGAAATACCGTGTTCTACCTCGGTCCAGGATACGGGCTCCGCGGTCGCGGAGCACCGCCAGCTGCAGCGCCAGGTCCTTGGCCACGTCGCCCACGAAAGAGCCCTTGGGCAGCTCCTCGGGCACCGAGTAGCGCAGCTGTCCCCACGCCGCCTCCCACGCCGCCACCAACACGCAGCACAGCAGCGCTCGCTGCCTCCGGCCCCAGCGCCCTTCTCTTGGTGCGCACATCTCTGCCACGGCTCCGCCGCCACCCCGACTTTTCGTGTTCGGCTCTGGATCAGACTGTCGCTCTTGCTCCGTCACCGTCTCCGATTCGGATCTCGCTCCGGTTCCGGCCCCGCCGCCTCCCGCTCTCGCCGACTGCTCCGTCTCGGTGCAACTCGGCTCCGCGGGGCCGCTCACAGCCCGCACGGCCGCCGATACAGCGAGCGAGGCGAGCCGGGCCGCAGCGGGCGGGGCTGGCTGCAGCGCTCCGCTCCTACCTCTCCTCTCCTCCGTGGTGAACAGCGGCGCCCGCAGCCTTCGCCCGGCACTGCACGCATGGCTCACAGCGAGCGCCGCCGCCCTGCCTCTTCCGCGGAAACCTTCGGTCCCCGCGGACACGGCGCCACGGCACATTCCCCTGCGACACGGTCCAGAGTCGTTTTGTTTGCCTTCTCCGAGGAAAAGATTGAATGCATTCTGGTGCTTCACGGCGCTCATGAGCAGTGTGAAGGCCAGGAGTTCCTCTCGCTTTCTTCATTCTAACACATGGCAGGTAGAACCATTACTGTGAATTTGGCCTTGAGTTGTTAGTCCCTGTTGTTAGTTGTTAGACCCTGTGTTGCAGAATCAGCATGTCCTCCACGACTTTCAGAAATTATTCTTGCCTTCTGTCTGGACTGAAAGCTTCCTCAGCTTTTACACTACGTATGTCCATGTAAATTCTATGTTCAGTTGTAATTTGTGTTATCATTCCAATGTCAACAACCTGTATTTAACTGTTCCCCCTCTAAGAGTGCAGCATCAAGGAGCCAGCAGCTTCCCTCAGCTCTCTGAGCAGGTTGTGCATGCACTTCACCTCCCTGTTACTGAACAAACCAGACAGGGTACTCACCACTCATCATTTTCCCCCGCTATAAATCTTGGAGTCTTGGAGGCCACAACAGATGAAGACTTGGTCTTGCTTCTATTCATTTAAATGAATTTCCAGACAAATGCCTACCCATACACCAGAAGAATCACCATGTCTTTCACTGTGAAGGTAGCAAAGACCCACGGTAGGAGCATAAATATGAAATTTGTATTGTACAGGATTACAGGTATGGGAGTCGTCAAGGTAATGTGTTGTGGAATGGACTTATAGCAGAACTGGTATGAGGTTAACGTGGTTATGAGCATAGTGAAGTTCTCTTAGTTCTACTGCATGGCATGTAGATTTTTTTTTTTTTGCATTAAATCGAATTTGAAGTAATTACCACTCTTACCCATTATTGCAGAAGCAGTCTGCTCAACTAATTGGAAAGATTATTCTTGCCATCCTTCTTGAATGAAAATTTTATTGGCTTTCCAACAGTTTGTGACTGTCTAAATGTAATGTTCAGCTGTAATTTTTGTTGTTGTTTCTGTCAACAACCAATATGAAACAGTTCTCCTAGCTCCATCCCACAAGCCCAATGAAACCTCCCATGCACATCTCATAGCAACCCCATAGATGAGATCCTAAACCAAAAATTCCCCCCTCACCTCCTCCATCTGGGTGCAGCTTCAATGAACCAGTACCTCCCCTGAAGCCTCTGAGCAGAATGCAACTATTCCACAGCCTTGCTATAGAGAAAATCTGTCTGGGCACCTGATACTGATCAGTCTCCTGATAGATAAATGCAGTCCTGGAGACCAGAACAGCTGGAGATTATGGTCTTACTTTCATTCACATAAATGCATTTCTAGCAAAATGCCTGATCATACACTAGAAAACCTTGTGGTATTTGGTGTGATGGTGATAAAGCCCCATGAGAGATGACCACACAGGTATACATGCAGGAAAGATGAGGGCACTCCCTGGAACCAGTTACAGCTGTACGTAGTTGCTCTCAGGGCACATCTGCCCCCTCACAAGCTTTCTGCTCTTCTTAACTTGACCTTTCTAACTTTCACAGCCTCCATCTGCACCCTTTCCCTTTTACCTATGAGAACTGCCCTTCAGTCTTGGCTTCCTTCCTTTTCCCATCACAGCCTGCCCTCACTGAACCTCTATTTCTTCCCCTTCTCCAACCATTACTACAGAAGATTTCCTTAACACTGTACACCATATGTACACAATGAAAGCAAACCATTGGCCAGCCAAGGACACATCGACCCAACAATTTTTCAGGCTCTAAGCCTGCCTCTTACGGCATCAGTGGACAAATGAAGGACGATGGATATCAACTACCTGGACTTGAGCAAAGCCTTTAATATGGTCCCTCACGACGTTCTTCTCTCTAAATTGGAGAGGTATGGATTTGAAGGATGGACTGTTAGGTGGACAGAGAATTAATTGGCTGGTCGCAGCCAAAGGGTTGTGGTCAACGATCTGGGTGGAGGCTGGTCACAAGTAGTGTCCCTCTGGGGCTGGTCTCGGGACCAGTGCTCTTCAACATCTTTATAAATGACATAGATGATGGAACTGAGTGCACCCTCAGCAACTTAGCAGATGACACCAAGCTGAGTGGTGCAGTCAATATAGAAGTTGTCTCACGAGAACCTAATGAGGTTCAACAAGGCCAAGTGCAAGGTGTTGCACTTGGCCTGGGGCAATCCCAGGTATTTATATAGACTGGGAGAAGAAGAACTTGAGAGCAGCCCTGTGGAGAAGGACTTGGAAGTCCTGCTGGGCAAGAAGCTGGACATGAGCTGGCAGTGTGCTCTTGCAGCCCAGAAGGCCAACTATGTCTTGGGCTGCATTAAAAAGGGGTGGCCAGCACGGAGAAGGAGGTGATTGTCCTCCTGTACTCTGCTCTTGCAAGACCCCACCTGAAATACTTTGTGCAGGCCTGGGGCCCTCAGCAGAAGAAGGATGTGGGGCTCTTGGAATGGGTCCAGAGGAGGGCCACCAAGATGATCAGAGGGCTGGAGCACCTCTCCTATGAAGAAATGTTGAGGGAACTGGGCTTGTTTATCCTGGAGAAGAGAAGGCTCCAGGGAGACCTCCTTGTGGCCTTCCATCAGGGGGAACACCTGTTTACATGTGTTCATAGTGATAGGACAAGGGGGAATGGTTTTAAACTAAGACAGGGAAGATTTAGGTTAGATATTAGGAGGAAGTTTTTCACTTAGAAGGTGGTGAGGCACTGGAACAGGTTGCCCAGAGAGGTTGTGGATGCCCCATCCCTAGAGACATTCAGGGCCAGGCTGGATGTGACTCTGGGCAGCCTGCTCTAGTGGTTGGCAACCCTGCCCAGAGCAGAGGCATTGAAATTAGATGATCTTTAAGGTCCTTTTCAACCCAGGCTATTCTATGATTCTCTCAGCCTCTGTACCCTGCAATCACAGAATTATCTCCACCATGGACACCATCCTACTTCTGGCCAAATATCAGACAGGACAAGGGCATTCCGTTTAGTGATATCTTAAATGCAAATACATTTATTAAAGTATTTGTCTTGACAGCTATAAACATTCTAATTGTGAATATAAACTGTTCCCTCAGTCCAGCAATTCCAACAGATCTTCATGTCTTTAAGGGTTCTCTGCCACACTGATGGCCAATCTAAAAAGCAGCAATCAACAAGGCAAAAAAACATGAAAACTACACAACTGGAGGATTTCACCGTCACTGTACAGGCATTCGTCTATCTTTTGCCCAAGCACTATGCTTATGATTCAAAAGATGGACCTGCAACACATGCTATGAGAACAGCTGTATCTGTTATCAAAGACATTTCTAGATCCCTTTTCTGAGAGGACGGTGTTCAAAGGCTCCTCTTTCCACAAAAAGACACTTTCACACATGAAGACGACTTCCAACTGTTGTAATTGCCTTCATAACAGGCCAATACAACATAACAGGACATCATCAAAGGACCTATATCCCAGACCCTGGATAGCTCCAAAGACAATTTTATTTTCATCACATTATCATGACATAATACAAATATTGTGAAGAGAATAAGTGATACACAGCTAAATTCTATGCATGGAGATTTTCAAGTATTCATAGTAGAAGGGTATGTAAACTAGAGAGTGAAGAAAGAATGCTGTGGAAGGTCCTCCCAAAGCCCCCAATACAAGCTCAATAACATCTCTTAGGCAAAACCCAATCAGCAGAAATACTTTAAAATGTATAAACTACAGCTGTGTGCTGAATGGAATAATTGCAACAAGCAGAGAAAGGAGTATCATTTCTTCTACTGCTCCACACACAAACTTCCCCAATGTCTCAGTTCAGACTTCTCACAAATTCTCTGGTTTTCCATGTCCTGCAGGATTTGCCAGCACATCTTACCAAAGCACCAGTTCAACAGACCATTTTCCTATAGAACACACCACACAAAACCACACCATTAAGGTATACCAAGAAGGAAGGTACATTTCTCTCTAATTTTCAAAACCATACTGACAATCTAACTGGAAAGAGTGGAGCTATCTACTAACAGCCCTTTCTACTAACATCATGTCTACATCCACTCCCTGGAAAGAGAACTGGAAGAAGACACACAAGTTACCTTCATATCTCCAGCCTTCCGCAACAGCTCAAACTCTGCTGAAATACCCAGCCAGTGGTTTACATGAGCAAGGCCCATGAACACATTGCACATTCACTTGGGGAACAACAACCCCAAGCACTGCTACAGGCTAGGATATAAGTGGTTAGAAAGTTGCCTGGCAGAGAAGGACCTGGGCGTATTGGTTGATAGTCAGCTGAATACGAGCCAGCAGTGTGTTCAGGTGGCCAAGAAGGCCAACAACATCCTGGCTTGTATAAGAAACAGTGTGGCCAGCAGAACTAGGGAAGTGATTGTCCGCCTGTACTGGGCTCTGGTGAGGCTGCACCTCAAGTACTGTGTTCAGTTTTGGGCCCCTCACTACAAGAAGGACATCGAGGTGCTCGAGCGAGTCCAGAGAAGGGCAATGAATCTGATGAGGGGGATGGAGAACAAGTCTTATGAGGAGCAGCTGAGAGAGCTGGGGTTGTTTAGCCTGGAGAAGAGGGGGCTCAGGAGCGACCTTATTGCTCATTATAGGAACCTTAAAGGAGGCTGTAGCAAGGTGAGGATTGGTCTATTCTCCTACGTGCCCAGTGATAGAATGAGGGAGAATGGGCTAAAGCTGTGCCAGGGGAGGTTTAGATTGGATATTAGGAAAAACTTCTTTATTGAAAGGGTTGCTAGGC